CACCGCTGCCACTGCTGTCCCTGGCTGAGGTTTTAGGGATTCTTCTTCACAGCTCAAAGGATGTTTCTGTCATCAGCTGCAATTGTTTTGAAGTCCACCAGTGATTTCTTTTTTCCTCAGACTTTCCACGCTGCTCTATTTGATTTATTCATCTCCTGTGCTTTGGTTTTCTTTTTTATTCACACAGATGAGCAGTTTTTTTTTTCCTGTCTGTCAGTTCTCTGATCTTAATGTCGGTGGATGAATTCTGGCTCTAATTGCAAACTGAACACACGAAGAGACTGAAAACTTCACATCCAGCTGCCTTTTTATGTGTGAACAACGCACGCAAAAGGAAACACCTGAGTTAAACCTGCCACTTAGTCTTTAACTGACTCCTGCACAACATTAAAGTGACTCCTTTTTGTAAAACTTAGAAATAATAAATGACACTTTTCTCAACTGTTGCTCCACTTTGCAGTTAGTAAGATGGTGGATTTTCATGTAAAACCCTGCTTTCCTTTAGCGTTTAAATAATTTAAATCCATGTTCAGGGGCTTTTGCATAAGCGACACATCTGTCTGTGCTTCCAGTGACCTCAGATTAGTTTCACCGTGTTCCCACCCTGTACATCGATGCTTAAAACTGCTTAAAACTGTCAACTGAGTCGTCAGACATCAGCCGCAAAACGCCACAAAACAAAGCAAAAAAAAAGGGAAAAACGAGAGGCTCGTCTGATCTGTTTAGTCGAACACATACAGATTTGGGAAACATGAGGGGAAACTGCTCTAAACAATCTGACAGAGACGAACGCCGCTGCATTATTCATCAGAGCCGGAGAGGAAAACGTGGCTCTTTTTATCTTTTTCAATCACAGTCAAATGTCAAAGCAAATATTCAAACGCAGCTTCATTTGCAGAGGTTGGTTTATTAGACATGCACAGTTTAACTCGGTGGACTTCAAACTCGATTTCTCACCGCTGTGTTGTGAAAGAAAATCTCATTTATATTGATTATTCTGTTAGAATTTAACCAGCGAAATTAGATTTTGTTTGCAACAAGCGTCCTGCAGTTCATGGGTCAGCATTTTTTTGGAATCCAGATTGTTTGCACCAAACGATCAAAGCAGGAAAGACGACGCGGCGAATCATTTTGACAGTTTTATGAGTCATTTAGAACAATAACTTCAATTGTTTTTTAGACGCGTCCTGTCAATGTCACAACAATCGCTCCGGATCGGCAGAGACAAACATCCAGTGACCTCTTTGATGACTAATTTATTGTTCTTATCAGTTAATTGGAGCAGTCTGAGGTGACTTTGTGAAGTCGTTTCAGAGATGGAATAAACAGTGCGGAGATGTTAGATGTAAATCGCAGCATAAAACTCTGTTTTCACGGTGCAGCACTAAAGGGTAGCGTCACATTCAGGACTATGATGTGGTTTCAGGGACAAGATGATGACATCAAACTGGAAATCTTCTTAGCAGTCCAACAGTAAGTGCTTTGTTTTTATTTGTCTCTTATTTTGGTAGTTCCTGTAGGCTGTAGATAAAAAACAGACATATGGCAACCATGGCATCACCTGCTGGTTTGCCAACCACCATCTTAAAGTTTGGAATTTATCCGTCACTTTCTTGCTCTTTTGAGACCAAATTGAACAAGCGAGGGTTGGAAGACTCATCCTGCCCTAACACGTATCTTGCTTTATCATCTATTTTCCTTTAAATGGGACCATAGTTTATTAAACAAACATCATGCTGCATTGAAGGAGACTTGAATCTAGCAATTGAGACCATGAACTTTTTAGGAAAATGGTTAATAAGGCAATGAATCAAGTGAGAAGTTGGCTAATTTTCTCACAGACTTCTATACAGTCTAGTTATTGCAACCAGAGGAGTCGCCCCCTGCTGGATGTTAGAAAGAATGCAGGTTAGGCTTCACTTAACAGACCCAGAGTTTACGTCCATCTTTGATATATAATCTATGGTGGTTTCTCCATCCATCCATTATCTATACACCGCTTAATCCTCACTAGGGTCATGGGGGGCTGGAGTCTGTCCCAGCTGACTCAGGGTGAAGGCAGGGGACACCCTGGACAGGTCACCAGTCTATCACAGGGCCACACTTAGAGACAGACAACCAAGCACACTCACATTCACACCTACGGACAATTTAGAATCACCAATTAACCTCAAGGGACCTTCTTGCTGTGAGGCAACGGTGCTAACCACTGCTCCACCTTGCAGCCCTGAATAAATCCTTGCAGTGCAAAATCAAATTAATGAAATCAAAGTTTCTCCAAAAACACAAAAAATCAAAAGTCATAGTACTGCAGATGCTGAATCAGTGGTTTTGTGGAAAATAACGGTGAAAATTTCAGGCTTTTATCGTAATAGTTGCTGAGATTTTGTGTAAAAAAAGAAAAGAAAAAGAAGTGTTTGATATATCAAGCTAAAATTTCACGAATATTTTTTAGAAATATCCATACTTTATGCCATAAAAATTACAGGCAGAGTGAAGATAGTCGGGCAGAAGTTGTTTTAAAAACGTGATGAGTATAAATCGAATGACCTAAATAGAAAATTGTGTCAGAAATAAAACCAGTCCAGCACTGGCAACTAGTCTTTACTGGTTTAAAGTAAAGCCTAAATCTATGGTTATCAGCCGTAAACTCAGCTAAAGATGTGAGACATTGCTGTTGCTACATACATGAAAGAAAACACTTAAATTGTAGCCATAAAGGTTTAAATACCAACAGCTCCAGCAGGTTGACTTCAACACATCAGAGGTTAAAAGCTAAAAGCTGCTTCACCTCAAAGCTTCAGTCCATCAACGGCAGCAGAGGTTTTACTTCTAATTAACTGAGTCGACACGTCTCCTCCTGAAAATGTCACACATTAACTTTTAAACACGACTCCGTGTCTGCTCCTGGATCTGAACCGTGCTCGGGTTTGACTTTGACTTCACAGAGGTCACAGCCTTTCCCGCTGCAGCTCACATCAGACGTTAAAGCTGCGGCCGGTGTTTGTGTTGTGAGCAGCGACTTCATGGCTGCTGTAAATTATTCAGCAGCGGTGGGTTTCTCTCAGGGCGCATGAAAGTAAAAGCAGAGCATCTTCTTCTCCTTCTTCCTCCCTCCGCTGACCCACTCAGTGCCATCAGTGGCTCCCAGCGTGCAGCATTAATTATTCATCTTTATAACTCTGTGAAAGGTAGACGGAGGACTTTCTGCCTCTTTACGACTCCCTCTGCACCAGATGCTCCCCCTTTGAGCCAATAAAAGCCCGGAGTTTTCCAGTAAAAGCCAACAGTTCTTCAGATTTGATTCTTGTTTTTGCTGCTAAGATGTGAAAACTTGAAAATCACCGGCAGAAAGAAAGTGATTTTTGTCTCCATTAGCTGGCAGCAACAACACGCTCAGGCACCTCTAATGTGCAAAAAACATAATTTAAAGGGACATTTCACCTAATTTATAAAAAGCGTGCGTTCCAATACACATACGTAGTAACCGGAAAATACCAGGACGTTCTGCTACATTTGGTCACATTTTGCAGGTTGCAAGCCAGCGTGATATCTGGTCATTCTGACCCACAATCCTCTGCACACCGGGAGATACATCACTCTGTAATGCAAGTATAAGCAAGCTGGGGCTGCCGAGTGCTCTACAAACTGTAATGGACAGACACACTGCAAAAAAAATGTTATTTTACTGAATTCTTTCCTTTTATTTCACACATCTTTTTTGCATTTTTTAAGATGTGCAAAATAAAATTATGTTTTAATCAAAATGACAAAACTAGTCCGTGAATTTACACGTCAAATGACATTAAAAACTTTGATTTCATAAATGCTTCCTTTAAATTTATTCAATTAATTATGTTTTCCTGGTTCCCACACTTTTTGTCCCACGGGTCCAAATCAAGAAGTGGTCTGAAAATTAATACTTGATATTTTGAATTAATTAAATTAACTTGAAATGATGGGGCTGCAGTGGCGCAGTGGTTAGTACTGTTGCCTCGCAGCAAGAAGGTCGCCGGTTCGCGTCCTGGTGAGGACACCCGGGATCTTTCTGCGTGGAGTTTGCATGTTCTCCCCGTGCAGCGTGGGTTCTCTCTGGGTTCTCCGGCTTCCTCCCACACAGTCCAAAAACATGTTGAGGTTAATTGGTGATTCTAAATTGTCCGTAGGTGTGAATGTGAGTGTGCTTGGTTGTCTGTCTCTAAGTGTAGCCCTGTGATAGACTGGTGACCTGTCCAGGGTGTCCCCTGCCTTCACCCTGAGTCAGCTGGGATAGACTCCAGCCCCCCATGACCCTGGTGAGGATTAAGCGGTGTATAGATAATGGATGGATGGAAGTCAATAAGAACAAAATAGCTAATTCCATTAAATTCCTGCAGGATATGTTAATGGCAGAAAACATATTTTATTTTCTACCATTTTACAGGATAAATGATTGAATTATTAGTACAAAAACTATTTTGTAGATTTCTAGAAACCAAACACAGTCGTGAACTTGACCTTTGCTTTGCTTTGTCACTCTGCTGCTCTCTCACCTTCCCCTCCATCTCCACCGCGCCATCTAAATAAATATATAATGAACCAAAGATAATCTCTTTACGTGGCCACATCCTGCTATGGAACAAGTTAAAGAGGTTTTTTTTCCCCCTGCAGACTTTTAAATCAACCAGACCACGGTGATATTACGGGTTTTTCTCTTGCGTGACAAGCCGGGAAACATGAGTAAGGTGGCACATGTATGACCGTGATGCAAGAGGATTTGACTTGCGGGAGGACACAATCTTCTTATTTATGTTGTGTGTGTGTGTGTGTGTGTGTGTGTGTGTGTGTGAGAGTGTGTGTCCCCTGACCCACTGTAATCCTGTGGTCTGCACTGTAATCCACACACACACATGGATCAGTGTCTGCCAAGAACACAAACTCAGGTCTAATGAAAGAGCGTATAATCTATCGCGAGCTGACCTTTACCGCCGACAGAGAAGCATGAACAGCACAGGAGGAAATCTTGTAAATACACATTCATGTTTATTACCATTTACTATTTACAGAAGACTATAGATCCATTAGACTTTTTTTTTTTTTTTTGACGTAGACTTCTCGTTTAAAACATTCATTTTTTGTTTTTTTCCACAATCGCTTTTTCTTGTCAAAAGAAAAAGTTGTTCATATCCAATAGTAACAACTGTACAAAGACAGCCTGGTAGGTACAATAATTTACTTAAAAACGGTTCTTATCTGAGTCAATGCAAATCATGTGACAACAAAAAAACAACAGCTCGAGAGTTCCCGTCGCTTTTCTTTTCTCCCCCCAACGGCTTGAGCTGAGCGACCACGAATGACTAGAGCTCGTATGTACATGCACTAAAGTGCTAGTGTTCAAAAGGCATGCAAATATTTGACTGATATTTGTACAACTGCCTTCCAAATATGCATAAGGTTTGTTGTCACCCATCGTCTTCTACGTGTCTACCGAGCCAAACATTCATCCCAACGTAAAAATAAATTAGCATCAGAAATGACATCATGTGTTTCCGCTTCAGACCCGATGAAGCAGAAGTTGTTGTTTTTTTTTCTTGTTGTTGTTGTTGTTTGTGTTGTCTTTCTTCTCCTTGACACTAAACAGAAAAGAGGAGCTTTAAAGGTTGGCAAAACAAAAAGAATGATATTATAAAAAAAAAAACTGATATAGACAGAACGAAAAAGAGAAATAAGAAAATGTAAACCCATGAGAAAAAGGTGTAAACGTATAAATGCAACAGCTGACCTACAGTTTGCACCTGAAAAAAGGTTCAGAATTGTTTCTAAAATATACATATATATGTATGAAGTACACATACGTATATATGTATACACACACGTGGGGTGATGAGTAACTCAAGTGTACAGGCACCTCTTATGGAAATGTGTTTTTTAGGTCTGTTTCTGTGGTTGTACAGTACATTCCAGGTTCTTCTGGTTCCTCGATGGTCAGCTGGTGCTACTGGGTGGATCCCCCACCGCCAGGCTCCGTCTCTGGGAGTCTCTAGATCGGAGGGGGAGGAGTTTCTGAGGTACTGGGTCTCTTCAGGCTGAGGTGGAGAAGGGTGAGAGGAGGTAGAGGAGGCCTCACGCCGGCTCCTCGCCCTCCAGGATGGTCCTCCGGTGTCCCGGCGGCGGGAAGGTGAACCTCCTCTTGGAGCCCTCGCTCCACTTGGGGGAGGAGGAAGGGGAGCGGGCGGCCCAGCGCGACGGGGGTCGGCGGTTGGCCGGGCGGGCCGGTCTCAGGAAGCAGGAGTCCAGCGGCGGAGCCACCGGAGAGCGAGGCAGGTCCTGCCAACGACAAGGAGGCGTCAGAGAGAGGGAGGAGAAAGGAAACGAGGCCAGTGCCAGCGGAGGAAAACAAGTGAACAAAGTGAATGAATGAAATGAAGTGAGAGGACAGTGAGCAGGGGCCAGATGAATAAATGATGAGCACAAAAAGCAGATGTAAGGAACAATGTCAAAGAAAAGATGTCAGTGTACCAGGAACCGTCCTGTTTTTGGGAGATATGTCATGTATCTCATGATAATCCTGTTGATTCAGTTCTACTTTCTACAAGCATGATTCCAAATTAGTGGCAGTTCATTAGTTACACTTGTTCAATTTAACCCTTTACTTAACCTTCTGAACCCCAAAAGGCACAAATGACGACATCTATTAGATCCAGAAAGTGTAAAAAAAACAGAAAGAATCATCACATCTTCAACTTTCTCTCTTAGGTTCAAATTATATTTAGAATCGGCAAAATCAAAATCACCAAAACACAAACCAACTGCACCAGATTCTGTAAAAAAACAAAAAATCTTGATGCAACTAAGAAGCTATGATTCACTCAGCAGCGAGCAACAGTGACGGGACAGAAATCCATCCTGCAGCCAGTGTTTACACAAAGCACAGAGGAGACAAGCATGGAAACACATGAAAAAGTTTTAAAATATCTCTACTATGGAGACTCGCCATTTATTTCCAGTGTTTGTATCACATGTGCGCACTTGGAAAAATGGTTCACATGTTGGTTCTATATAAATATTCAAAGAAGTTGTATTTATTTGATGATTTCTGACTTTATACCTGAACCCCACTGCAGAGAAGACATTTGGAAGTTCTCTCTCCTTCTAGTCATGGTTGTGCTGTTTCCATTAGAGGTGCAGGACTTTATATTGCAGTGAAAGTGAACCCACAGTGAGTAAAAATGTAACCGGATCAAAAGAAGCACCAATCCTGATCAGGACTGTGTCATAATAAAACAGCAAAAAGAGCAGGGGTAGAGATTTTTTTTTTTTTTGTCGTTTTCCAGAGAACTTCATGGAGTATATCTCAATATGAACTTAGGACCTGCTACACGACGTAAAAGTCAATAAAATTCAATTGGTTTTACGAGCTCAGATGTCCTAATAAACATTTACTTCTGCATGTCAGACCCTAATGTGGCCTAAGCTGGGTTTACTGGGCTGCGTCAGAAAGGTGCTGATTCACCGTGAAGGTCATTTCTGTCGTATCACAGCGAACATGAGGCGCTGCTTCGTTCCTGAATCAAGTGAAATAGCTTTAAATAGATGCTGCACCACTGCCCCAAAGGTTTTATCTAATAACATGTAAACATAATAAACAAAAATAACTTGAACCTGAAGTAAAAAA